CGTTGTCGTCATTGTTGTTTTTATTGTTGTTGCAACAATTCAATTCACATCACCATTCATGGTTATCTTTAAAGTGTCTACTGTCTACTCAGTGTGGCATAATGCATTGCTGCTTACTTGACATCTGTATATGCATGTATATCGTTTTTCTTATAAAAGTGGAAACTTCTTTGTGAAGGTATCTCATATCACAATTGTATCTTCGGTGGCAAGCAAGCGTGCAAGCAAGCGTACAGCTTCTTCCAACAGCAAACCACAAAGAACAGTCGTCGCACCATTCACAATACAAGGAAAACGAAATTTGGAAACAAAAAAAAAAATCAAAAAAAAAAATATATTAAAAAAAAAAAAAAAAAAAAAAAAAAAAAAAAAAAAAAAAAAAAAAAACAAAAAAAAAAAAAAAAAAAAAAAAAATACAAAAACGAAAACATAAAATGTTTACAAAGGTAAGAAGGATAACACCCAGCAAATGCAAACATTCTGAACATTCTTTCTAGAATGTAAAACAAGTGCATGCATTCATAATATACACAAAAACATATACAGATATATGCGTACAGTAAGCAGAAATGAGTTGAGCTGTTGTATTGTAATTTCGGTTTAGATCGTATTTCTACTGAGTGTGTCCTTGTCAATGGCCTTAGGTGGTATTTACGATGGGTACGGAGGGGGTGGCTTTATAGCGGCGCCTGCCGTATCATATGCAGCTCCGGCGAAAGTTGTTGCCGCTGCGCCGGCAGCAATTGCTTTACCTGCGCCAAAATTAGTCGCAGCTCCCGCCCCAGCAGCCGTGGTAAAAGCCGTTGTAGCGGAACCATACGATCCCAATCCGCAGTACAGTTTCGCTTATGGTGTCTCCGATCATTCAACAGGCGATTCCAAATCGGCTCAAGAGTCTTTGGTGAACGGTGTGGTGCATGGCAGCTATTCTCTTACCGAAGCTGATGGCACGATACGCAAAGTTAGTTAATTGCATCAAAAATACTGCAATGCCTTTATAAATGCTACGATTATATATTTGCATCGGTTTATTTTTTCTTTAATTTTTTTTTTTGTTTTTTTTTTTGTTTTTTTTTTGTTCTTCACAGGTGACCTACACAGCCGACAAAATTAATGGTTTTAATGCTGTAGTAGAAAAATCGGGAGCTGCTGTTATTGGCGTTGCTAAGCCGGTGGCTGCAGTAGCTGCCGTACCGGCTGTTGCTAAAGTCGCCTACGCGGCACCGGCCGTGGCCAAAGTTGCTTATGCCGCTCCTTCATATTATCATCACTAAACAACTGAGAATACATTTTATCAGCGTTTTGACATCACATTTTTTTTTTTTTACTCCGGCTATCGTAGCGTAATGACTGACCCGCGCAATTGTAAACGGACTTATGAAAATTTTGTTGTTTTCTTATTATTAAAATAATTTATTTTATGTTATTTATGTCATGTTAGATGTATACTTTGTTTTTACTTTGTTCTCTCTAATTTAACTTATCATCTTCCCATACAATTCCAACTAATCCGTTCGCTCTCATTAGCTTCGATCCACTCATACGCATATTTGCGCCTTTTTCGGTATATCCATCACATATTTTTCTGCTCATCGGTTTTGCTTATGTAACATTCTTTTCCCATATTATGTGATTGCTTTCGTGACTCGTGCTTGTCGATGTCCAATGGAAGAGTTTGTGACCTGTGTATGCGGCATTTTGGGTTAAACGTGTTGTTTGGTGTGAAAGATATGCTACTGCTTGTCTCTTTTTTTACACATTAGATGATTCTTTCTGCTCAATGCATTTGTATTTGTAAATATATTTTTAATTTTTGTTCGTTATGTTGTGTTAATATGTAAGTGACTCGCGTTGTTCTCACCAAATTTATGGAGAGGTTTTGTGTGCATTTACTGAATAAAGTTTTCAGTACAAAAATATAAAACATGCCATCGTTTATATTATTTTGTGTATTACTACTAGAGTAACTTTAGAAGGAAATGATGTTCTATTCATTAGTTATTATATCCTTTTAAACAATTGATTGCAAATCTCAAAATCGTCACATTTTTCAATACTTGACTTCGAGATTAAAGATAAAAAAAAAAGAAATCAAGAAAAGGCATTTCGCTGAACTAAAGAAAACTCTCGTTTATCAAACAGTAAGATTTGAAAGGGGGGCCGCTGTGTTATACGCTGTTCCGGAGGTTTGCCGTTCAATAACATGCAAGGATGAAAGCAAATATGTTCGCAGATGGAAGCCGTGCTAGAGTTCCGGATTAATTTGTTACTAAAGCAAAAGAAAGAAAACAGTGTCAGCGATGGAAGTAGCGTATGCTAAGCATAAGCATAAGCAAAAACGCTATAGTATACATCGGTCTATCATTAAATATCCCATACCGTCATACAGTTATTCATACGACGACTTTTCAAAATAAGAAGTTTTTGGGGAATTGGTGGACAAATCAAACTTGTTTTTAACAGCTCTTGTCCTTGGACCAAGACATGTTGACGTGTCAAAGTTCATCAAAATATCTCAAATATTACAACCCGAAGGTTAAATATAAGAGGTCAAGAGTAACAGATGGACAGACAAACTTAGATCGATTCAGAAAGTGATACTCAATCGATTGGTATAATAAAAGGTGGACCTAACCCAAGTCCTTCTGATTGTTACACACATCCATCCGCACCAACTTAATATAATCAAAAGCGGTGTAGGATATAAAAATACCTTATCATAAAGTAGTTTAACAATTTTAATATCGGCAAACTATCTCTAATAGGCGGCGACCTCGTAATTCTTGTAGTTTTAGAAATGCTTTAATTTGAAATTAAAAAACAAAAAAAAGAAAAAAAATTGTACTTTAAGAATTATAAAGAAATATTTAGGCGTGACGAAAAGGACGCAAAGAATGATAGTCAGCCGCAGAGCGAGTATCTCGCGAGTTGTTTATTTACAGGAGCGCGCCTGAGTTAACTGGTCAATCAAATCTTCTCGTCTAACCGTTAAATGTTGCGGCGGCGAATAATTTTCTGAGTATAGCGTTGTCTTTTTCTTTTTCTTTTTCATTTTCATTTTATTATAATTATCATTATCGTTACTATTATTATTATCATTTTATTTCAAGTTTGAGTTAATTTACATATACTAAGGGTGCGACGTTAGAGTGCGACATAGAGTGAAGCATACTTAGTATGTGTATATGTGCAAGTATGTGTTGTGTGCATCCATCTATTTTTTTTTTGTATTATCTTTTTTTGATTATCATCAATCACTCAGGGGATGCCACCGATTCGTGTAACACGGCGACGGTCCAATAGAGATGAGAGAAGTGAAAGAAATGGCGAGCCACAGCCTAGTGGATGTGTGCTTAATCGATAAGTAATTAATATAATAATTCATAATAATAATGACTGAACACTCGCTATAGCTACGATAAAACTAACTGAGTTGATGGTAGTGGCGGTGCTTACCTATACATGTGTATACATAGTTCTTCGTTCATACCTATTCCAGCTATTCCAGGTTGCTTTAGGGCTACACACAATTGTATGCATAATAGTTGCGGATTTCGGCTGCCGAAGCCCCCAATATTATACCCGCCACTGTAAGATCGGGATATATTGGTTTTTTTTTTTTTCCAAAACATATTTAATACCCAAAAAGGAAACTTTAGAGGACCTATAAAAAAGCATGAAATTCTGAATTGCGTTGAATTCTGAGACACGTCTGTCCGTCAGTGTGTTGTTGGCAATCTCCTGGTCGCAAAAATGAAGATATCGACTTCAAATTTAGTAGAAATATTAGAAGTTTCTGCACGCAGGTGTTGTATTGAAAATGGATCAAATTACTCAGAGTAGGAGGGCACAATGGAGTGTACACTGAACGTAATCTAGTTTTTTTTTAAGAAAAAATTTTGGATTTTTGCTCATTACTCAGAAATGATTAAAGTTAGATGGTTGAAATTTTCCACATTTGCTTTACGAGACACTTTACTCTCTAGGTTCAAAATTGGATCTAATCGCCCGTGTCCACACCAAGGTTACGAATAACACAGCTATTACTCTTTTTTTCTTCTTAATAATACCAGTGATAGAGTTATCACATAAAGGAACTTGGAGAATAGAATGCGAACAGTATAGTGGGTGGGTATGCGAGATTCGGCCCCCGCCGAATACTCTTATTCGTTAAAAGCCAAGCAAATAAAATTTAATAACAAAAGATAATTAATGAAGAACATAACAACAAAATAAACAAAAAGTTAAAGGGAATACGAACAACTTAAGAGTGGAGAGTACAAAAAATAATAGATCAGAAATAACAAACACATATTTGCTTCAGTACTGAGTTTCTAGCTAATCTAATTGTTCAGTGCAAGGACTATAAAGATATATGCTTGTCTGTGAAGCAAGACGTAAGGAATCGTTGTTTTCTTCCGGATCAAGGTCATACATTTTCCAGGAGAAAGTGTATCTAAGTAGTCGATTAACAAGGTAATCCAACTTTATTTAAATTTGACATTGATATGGCGCTGAAAACGTGTTCGCGTCAAATCTCAATTCGCTCCAAAGAAAATCAACTTTTTGGCGAAAAAGGACTCTACGAATGTTATGACTTGGTACCGCGCGACCTCTAAACTCAAAACATATCGCCGGGAACCCTGTTTCGACTCGATTGAGGAGATGAGAGTCGAATATTGGATAATATTTATGGTGATCCCAGAAGAGACTTTTCTGTTTTAAGGATTAGAAGAAACGTTGACATAAATATGGCACTGTGTCGGGGGTACGGGACATGGGAGGAGAACAAAAAGAGGGAAATGATTTGTCATTTCGTAACATAAATTCACAATAGCAGTAATCGCAGTAATATGTGCAGCGTATGCATGTACCGAGTAGTTGAGCATTCTGTGTTTCGTAGGAAAAGGATGAACAATAGAGAGAATGTAGAGACTTCAGCGAGCAAGCCCTCTCCAAGTTTTAACTTTTTTTTTTTTAAGCATTTTATAATAAAAAAGTGATCTCGCAAAGTTTCATATCAAAGTGATGGCGAAACGAGTAAATGTAAGTCGTTGAACTTTTTATGTAACTTGCAATGAAATTCATTGTTAACTTTCGACCATCACCTTAACCTGTTGCATAGGTTAAAGCAATGCGTACAATTACGAAAATGAGTGAACATTTCAGCTGGATTAGCTAATCATTGGAGAATGTCATTGGTTTGTCATCATCGATTATAGCAACAACGTCAACAACAACGAAAAAAGAATTACTGTGAATGACAAATGACGCCAGGTGCTAAAAAGCTCACCGCAACAGATCATTCACTGAGATCAGTTACAGTCACTTTTTAATTTTCATTTCATTTCAGTTTATATGTAAATCGAATATTAATTGACTCTGTAATGCAAAGTATTGCAAAATTTCGATTTTCATTTTATTTTTTTTCTTTACGTGTGCAGTTGTAGTGTCAAAAATTAAAAAAAGAAAAAAAAAAGAAAAAAAAAAAAAGACGTGGGTAACATTTGTAAAAGTTAAATTCTAACCAGACTAGATACACAGCAGGATTAGAGTTATGTTTCGGCTTTACATTCATGCATGATAACAGCAAAGCGAACAAATATCTTTGAAAGGCTGCAAGGCTTTGACCAGATTTTAACTCAATACTAGGCCAATACGAGTATGTGTTTTTTCTTTCGCATGTTTAATTCATCTAATTAAAGTCCATGCAATATTGGAAATTTGTCGAAAAAAAAAACGATCAAAAAAGTAGCAACAACATGAAAAGCCAACAAGACGCGAACAACAAATGCGTTAAAAACCGGACCAATATTCGTATGTGTTGTTGAATATGAATTGACGAAAGAAAAAAAAAAAAAAACTAAAAAAATTGAAAAAAAAAAAAAAAATAAATAATAGTAATAATAATAATAAATAAAAAGAGCGAGCGCATAATCCATTAAAAAAAAGTATGAAACCAGATCTTTTAGAGTCTAGTTTTATGGAGCATACATTACTGGTCAAAAACGCTTAGGTGCTGTGACTGTTTTACTGCTGCTGATGGTGGTGTATGGGCAGCGTCTAGACTCTGAGTTACTTTATTTACTGTATGTGCATTCTTGCCTTTGTTGTTGTTGTTGTTGTTGTTGTTGTTGTTATCGTTTTTCGTTGTTTTTGTTTATTGTAGCTGCCATTCATACGTCTACCAAATTGGTGGGTTTAGAGTGCATTAGAGTGTGTGGTAAGTTGGTGGTAAGCTGCCTGTGATATGTATACAAAGTTCGGCTGCAAAGGCCTTTGATTTTGTTTGTTGCACATTTCTCGAATATATAAAAGTGCCAACTTCTTTGAGAACGTATCACAAACCAAAGTTGCATTTTCGATAGTACACAACAAATTTTGAATACAGCAGCCAAATTCAGAACAAGATGATTGCAAAGGTAAGGACACGATGGTGCGCTATTCACAGTTTGTTACATATTTTTCCGCGATAATAAGCAAAGTTAAAAGCAAAACCTATTCTTGGGACGTAAAGCGTAATTTATTAAAAGAAAGGATTTTTTGTTTGCAATTTATTTCATATAGAATATATATATAAATATATATATATTTATATATATGTAGTATATGTGCATGTTTGTTTATTCGCGTAGGTTGTATTTGTTCTCAGCGTGTCCTTGTCTATGGCCGTTGCTGTACCAGTTGATGCTTATGGTCCTAAATATTATGCTGCACCAGCTGCCGTTTCATATCACGCCCCTGCTGTGTCTTATGCGGCTCCGGCAAAATTTTTGGCACCAGCTCCTGCTGTAGCTTATGCAGCTCCTGCTAAAGTATTAGCTCCAGCTCATTACGCTTTACCAGCGCCTAAATTGCTGGCTGCACCCGCCGTTGTTAAAACCGTAGAGCCAGAACCCTTCGATCCCAATCCCGAATACAGTTTCTCTTACGGTGTAACTGATCATCATACAGGCGATTCAAAATCGCAAGAAGAAAGTTTACACGACGGTGTGGTTCATGGTAGTTATTCGCTTACCGAACCTGACGGCACCATACGCAAGGTATATTAATATAGACGAATAACTTTACATTTCAGTTATTATTGAAATTCATCTGAAAACTTTAGGTTACTTATACTGCTGACAAAGTCCATGGCTTTAATGCTGTGGTCGAGAAATCTGGTACCCCGGTTGTTGCTAAGCCCGCAGTGGCCTTAGCCGCAGTGCCTGCAATTGCTAAAGTAGCTTATGCCGCTCCTGCCGTTGCCAAGGTGGCTTATGCTGCTCCTGCTGTCGCTAAATTCGCTTTACCTGCTCCTGCCTATTATCATCATTAATTGGCTTCCTAAGAATCATCATGCCATTTCATCTAGTTATTACATGGACCAAGCATTGGTATTTGGACTTGTGACTTTAAAAAAAAAAAAAATTAATTTCATTTGAAACAAAACGAAAAAAAAAAAAACACAAAAAATAATCATAAATATTTTGTTAACTTATTTTTTTTTTTTTTGTAATTAGTTCGTCGTTAGATAGAGAGAGGACGGACACCTACATAAGAGTAGCCCTATTATTGCCACATTATAACGTTCTCTTCTTTTTTTTTTTTTTTTAAAAACTATGTCTCTAAACATCTACCTTCTCTAGCTCTATGAATTGCTTGTTACTCCTAAACATGATGAACGTACGGTTCTTTTTTCTTTATAAGGATGGCCAATATTTGATAAATATGCTATTATATATGCATATCTGCATTAATATGCATTTATATGCATATGTATTTGTATGTTATTATATTTTGTAAAATATCTGGATGATGTTTTAAGTCTTTATTTTCCTTGTAATGTAATTCTTTTTCGTTCTTTCGTTTTTATCCCATTTGTATTTGTAAATATATTTGTACATTTTTGTTTTTTTATATGTAGTAGCATGTAAGTGACTCGAATTTTTCTCGAAAAATTTTTATATAATATTAAATTAATTAAACAAAAAGTAACGAAAACGTAAAGGTATCGAGAATCGTATCGTGTGCATTTACTGAATAAATAAACGAAAAAATATATATATATATTCAGTACAAAAAAATTTATACTTTTTTCGCGCTTTTCAATTGAATCGAGTTGAAAATAGTTTACAGTTATTGATTAACTCTTATGATAAACTATTGCATTTTATTAGCAATACTTTCTAAAAACTCTACTGTGCTGGCAAAGCAAAACACAAATGTAATAACAAATGTTTGCCTACTTTTTTTTTTTTTTTTTTTTGTTTGATTGGTTACCGAACAACACGACTTACAAGTCTTGATCTGAGAAAGAAGAAGAAAATTGTTTGCGCAATTGCAACCGCAACCGTCATCATCAGTCACCTTACCTTATATAAGTTTATATAAATATAAAGAGAGAGAGACAGAGAGTATTTAGCAAAAAAAAAAAAAAAAAAAAAAAAACAATCACAACACTTGCAATAAATGATGCGATGACTTAATTGAGAGCGGTATTTAAAGCGAGTACGATTAAGTTATTAGTTTTCTCATCATTCATACCGGTTTAATGTGAAACGTAACAAAAGACAGTTCCTTCGAGTTTGCGGAAATGCTGTTGTGAAACACAATCCTCTGGCAACTTGCTTATAAGCAGATGCTACTTTCATGACGCCGTGTAACGTTTTCGGTGCACACTGACAAATTTGTTAGAAAAATGAAAATTTAATCGGGATTTTTTATCAGCTTTTATATCCTAGCATCTTAAGCTTGGCGCATGGATGCAGTTTAGGATGTACTGATAAGAGCACATGTGACAAGGAATGCGTTAATTCATTATGAATTGCGATTCTATTACCTGCAGTAAAGATTTGCATATCCTCGAGAACTTAGGTAGGTATGCAACAAACTTAGATCTCTCTGGTTAACACAGATGCTCGCCTTCTTACCCTGTAGATTGACGATTTCTTTCACGTTTACTTTGAAAAGGGAATATTAATATTCGTGCTAAAGCCTAGTCTAGTCTATTTCATGCAGTTAATGGGCCGTAATGATCTTATTGCAATCAACTAGAATCCCTTTGCTTTGCAAAGACTGATGCCATCAAAACAGGATGAATTTCGATTTCATACGGAAGTAATTCCTTTCAAATAGATTTTTTGACAACCGCTTCGGGAATACTTTACTGTACCGTTCATCACTCTGGACGTATGAGCTACTGATCAGAATGAGACAGATTTGCGATTGTCATGGGAATTCTTTTCCGATCGTATTCCTTTTATGCGTGATGTACATCCTTAAAAATTGCGTGTACATTGGATTCGGAAAAATAGGGATTATTGAATATTTGGGGCTTTTTTAAATGTGAATTGGGATTGTGGAAAATCTTCCAATTTGAACTGTGTAAGCCAGGCATAGGCAAATTTCAGAGCCAGGTTCATCTATTATTAAAAAGTGCGGCATTCTTCGCCACATTTCCATCTTTTTAAATCGCCAAGCTTACGACTTAATGGCAAAAACAACACATTTCACATCTGATATCTGCATGGCTGAATCGGTTTGCAGCAATGCAAGGCTATATGCAAGCAAATTGAAATTTTGGACATAGCGAGCAGGCTTCGACGATGCCAGGGACCGGCTGTTGCCTATGACTTGTACAGGCCATTGAAGCGTTAAGGCTTCTAGAATTGTTGCATCCGTTCAAAATTGCCAGATCTCTTAAGCCATGTAAATTATTGATCATCGCAATCACGTAAATCCCATTAATGCTTTCAATGCTTAGTTTGTAATCAGCTGCTAAAATATCCTCGTCTTGTTTTTCGTTGTTTATTGTCGATTGTAGATAAAGTTTTCGATGGTGGACGTGGTACACTCATCATAATTCCGGCAATTGACGAACGACAGTTTTCATGAATTACCTACACGACGAATAGAGGGATAACACACCAATGTAACACTGTGTCGCATTTATTTACAGGCAGTGAAACACGTAGAGAGTTTGAACACTAGAACTACCTCCTCCTTAAGATTGGAACCTACCTCCTACTTACGTGCATTGCATACACAGATTTGGACATTAAAAGGATCATTTTGATGCTTTTTTTTATGAAATTGCTACAGCCGCAAACAGTGATAAGATACGTAGCCGAAATTTAGCACAAAATTTCCTAAATCGATTAACAGGTTGAACTATGCGCTTGACCCGCCTGTACGGACGCTCCTAATAGATTAAGATTTGAGAAAACTTTGAAGAAACGAGCGCGTCTACCATTTTTGATCGCGTGAAAATATTTTCGAATATCTGTAAGCCGGCTGTTCCCTACAATAATCTTCGTGTCACTTCAAAAAAGGTTACAATTAGTTTATTAAGATGCTTTACGCCCATAAGCATGTTCTTTATCCGAAATAAATTAGAACAGGGACAATTTTTCGATCGAATTTACAACTTGTACCTGGCATAGATTTTGATAATAGTCATAGACAAATATATGAAGAAGAAAAGCCGCTAGTTTTTCGAGATCGTTTAAGTTTCTCTTATATTGTGGACGTGTAAATATACATATCATACCTATTTTTCAAGCTCATATTTTTAAAGAATCGACGACTCTTTGTACCATACTTCGGCAAAATAACCCATTTTGACGAAAATAAGAATATGTCATAGGCATCCCGAAGACTAGGAAAGAATTGATTACAGACATCTTAAGGTCTCTTGATATAAATCAACCTTTTTAATGTGTAACCGTTTTTTTGAAAATCGAAAGTTGAAAAGTATCAAAATTATATATTCGGTAGTTCTAGTGGTGATTGATGAAAAATAAATTAGAATAGTTTATCAAAGATCTCCTACACACAGCAAAAGCATTGTGTTACAAGCCAACATAATATTATTCTATAGGTGAGTTGATTATTAACTTGTGGAACTTGTCTTCAAATTCGTAATTTCTTAGCAAAATCATATAAATCTTTTGAATCGCTCTCTTAGCTTCCTATTTACGAAACGCCTTGTCTCAATAAAGCCAGCCAAAAGTGTGTTTTCGTTTGGAAACATGTGTCAGACTTACATACATATAGATAGAGAGCAGAGAAATTGAAAATCCAAAAATAAAATACATAAGCCTGGAACTTCTCGGCATGTACGTATTTTGGGGAGTTTGAAGAAATTCAGAAATGTCAAGAAAAAAATTTCTTTCAGTCTAGGTGTTTTCTTCCATATATTCTAGAAGATGCAAAGCATCTATAAAAGCCAATAAAAAATAATTTTATTTTTTCGAAAAATTTATGTTTGCCTTAATCGCCGAACATTTCTTCGGCCCATTTAAATGTTTACATTGGCCAACTGATTCGATTAGCCAAGGATGGAAAAAAAAAAGACAAAGCTTCAATACTTGTTTCCTTTAATTTAAACGATAGGTCGAGTTACAAAAAGAAAAAAACAACAATTTTTGGTTTCGGTTAATTTACCTAAAGAAAATTCATGCTGCGCTATGTTATAAGCGATAGCGAGCAAGCTGTTGTTTTGACGATGATCACAGAGCGTCAATTTGCTCGTCGTTTAGAAAGCTCATCTTATAAAATAGTCATAGTTGCAGAATGGACCTGCTTGTCGCATTCTAAGCTATTGCGGATGCAAAATAACGCAGTTTCTTACTGAAATACACAAACATTTCTGCTAAGCCATTAGTCAAGAGTAACGTTTCATATTTAAAAAATTTATCAATTGCACCTTTCAATCGTTTACATTTACTTATTTTGGACTAACGATTTTTCTATGCGCTTAAAATGACAGGTTTATCGATTATAGATAATGTCTATTACGTTTGAGGTGCAAGAGTTAAAAAGCACAAAAAAAAAAAAAAAAAAAAATCAAAAAAAAATGTGATTAATTTATGCATTTACCTCGGTAGACAAAACAAACATTAATGACGTCATAATATTATTAAAAATGTACGTAAGCATAATATTACAAATTTCAATAAAAAATTACAGAAATGACCGAAAAATGCTTTTTATATACTTCATGCATAACATTGAATTGGAAAAAGACTTTTGGCACGTTTTCTAAAGCAATATATATATATGTATATATATATATATGATATATAATATATAATTTTTTTTTTTTTTTTTTTTTTCTGGGGGTTTAATGAGTGAAATATTCACCTAAAAAGGTACTGTGGGCAAATGGAAAGTGTAGATATGAACACACGTTATATAAAACCTGATGGTATAATATGTGAGCTCTGCGGGTGTGCGTGCATACACTCGGTTTTTTTTTTTTTTTTTTTTTTTTATGATTTGCCAAAATTTGTGCTTATGAAAATGGGCTAAAAAGTGTATGTAAATTGGGGGCATGTGACTAAATGTATAAACGCAATAGTTTATACGCACATACTTTAGCGTATCTGTGTCTATTTACACATAATTATTAGCTTACGCTTGCTTTAAGGAAATTTTTGTTTAAAAACTCACGCATTTAAATAACCACTCATCATTCAGACGTTCATCATTTAACTTAACTAAACAGTTTTTCAAAAAGAAAAAAAAAAAAAAAAATTAATTTCCTTTGACTACGAAAATTATGGCTTTTCTTAAGGTAAGTTCAATTTTTGTATGTGCGAAGAAATCCCGCCAAGAAGGAATTAAACTAAACTCCTTGCAAATTTAGATTACAATTGTTTGGTTGAGTTTAGTGGCTTTTACGGAATGCGCATTGCTGCGAGCAGCTCCCGTTGCATTGCCAGCTGCTCCTGTTGCGGCAGCTGTTCCATTAGCCACTGAAATCGATCCTCATCCTCAGTACGCGTTTGCGTATAACGTACAAGACGCCTTGACTGGTGATAGTAAAAGTCAACAGGAGATCCGTGACGGCGATATCGTTAAAGGCTCCTATTCCGTTGTGGATGCTGATGGCTCATTGCGTACGGTTTTCTATACAGCTGATCCTATTAATGGCTTCAATGCCGTTGTCCAGCGTGGATCGGTGCCAGCGCCCATTGTTAAACCTGTACCAGTGCCACTGCCAGTGCCTGCGCGTTTATTTTAAATATCTAAATAGCGTCGCCTGTACGCTATCGTCCTTTATTAATTTATATTATTGCTTATTAGTTACTTAAGTTAAATACGATATTTTTGACATTTTATTGTTGATTTATTTTAAATTTATGTTAGACAAAAAAAAACAAAAATTAAAACTAGAAATTGCTTAGTCATTGGTTTTAATAAATGTAATGATTAGAAATACCTTGAAAACCCAGAAATGATTTATTGATATATCAAAAGTAATTGATTATTAGTTAAAATGCTACGAAATTCAAGGTTTTGCGGTAAACGATGCTTATTGAGATCATGGTTTACGAAAGACATGAATTAATTGATTCAAGTCAATAACAAATAAAAATACGTTAAGTGCCTACTATGAGATCCTTTACATCACTACTTGACGCGATATCATTTTTCACTATTTTAGAAAAAATATCATTGGCGAATGACTCATTAGTTCGATTATTTAAGAGTGTTGGTCGAGTGATCGTCGGTTGTTAGGGGAAATATGTTAGAGCTCGCATTGTCATGACGAAAATCTTCCGGCAAATAAATGGTTGTATAGCAGTTAAAGTTGACCCTTTCACGTTGCAGTGGAGGCGTTATTGCTAATTTAGTCTAAAGAATGAATGAACATTTGGTTTATTTACATCGAGTCGGCAACCGTTTACATTTCGACTCATGTGCATCGACTGTTCATTCGTCCATCACCTGCTACGATCTTATATAGCTTCGTTGAAGAAATGCCATTGTGTGTGCATTTCTTAAGCATTCGTTTGCACTCGCGCGATCATCTTTTTAAGAATTTTTTTTTTTTTATGTCATGTGAGATTCAATAAAGACAAACTTTTTTCACGGCTGGTAGAACTCATATGTAAGATTATCTCAATCTTGCTGTTTATCGCATGTCGATCTTGCCTTATTAGTTTTTGCAAAGCATCAAAAATGTTCACACACACACAATCAGTGATTTTGAATGACTTATATGGCCACGATGAAACCTATTATACTAGCGTTTCACACCAGCAATGGATTGAAGCTTACTCGTCAAAATCAGGAGTAAGTTGATCGACGCAGTCCTGTCGTCATAATATATATGTTAATTCACAAACAAAAGACGAAATTTTCTGAAGAAAGTTATGATTAAAAATATTATAATATTCCAGCCGAAATGTCGAATGGCGTCTGGCAACACTTAATGTTGCTAAGGCTTAAAATATAAATAGTGCTCTACGTATAAAGTTTTGATCGTTCTACGGATTAATTAAATCGATTTTTTTAATTTCATCTAATGACAACAAAAACAGTTACTTTGAGATAAACTCTAGACATTCAAGACAATATTTTGAAAGCAACTGCCAAGATTGATATATAGCTTATGGGGTTGCCGATGGCCATTTTTCGAGCAATAATCTATCTATACTTCTATATGAGAACCTGATATGAATGAAAGTTTGTCTTATAATGGCCATGAATTGTTTTTGTATATATGGTGTCATACAATGGAAACAAAGCACTAACGTTAACGATTAAACCAAACATTGAACTATTTATTCATAAATAAAGTCAATATGTTCGTCTAATTACGTTTTGCGCGATTCAATTCGACAACGAGTAGAGTGAATGTGAGCAAAACGACACACATTTGGATAATTTCCGCACAAGAATGCATCGTTATCGGAAATTCAAACTAACCCTGGTAACGGCAACGTTCAAGGCTTGACCCGTGAACGAATGCATGCATTAAGTTTAAGTGACAAGCTGTCTCCATAAATATATTCCGCAATCAATTACAACGAAACACAATCCTTCAAATATTTCGAGAATTTCGTTGAATTATTTGCATTCCTCCCTCTACTGGCCTTGTTTCTCGTAGAATATCGCAATTGCAAATTTTGTACAATGTGCTCAGCAATTTTGCATACAATTTTCAGTTGAATGCACTAACACAAAGACTTTAATGTCAGTTGTTGTTTGCCCGACATCTCTTAAGCCCAGCAAACTACAAAAACTAACATTTATATGACGTGAACATCGTCTGTATATTCTGATAATTTTTTTAATATTCCTTTGAAAGCCCGAAGAACCTCAAATAGATTTCATCTTCGAACTTGAAGGTATCTTCAATCGTAACAGATCGTATACATGTTTCTATAAGTTTATTTATTTGGGTATTAGTTGAGTGACGTTTTCCCGACAAATGATTTAATCTGCAGTTATTTCAAGAAATGGCAAACATTACAAATAGTCTGTATACGTTCAAATAATAGCGGGACTTAAGCAGTTAAGGTAGAAATTTGCTCTTGTTTATTCCCTTACACTTCAATGATTTGTATGAATTTTTCTAAAAATTAATTCTTGGATTAATATAATCAATCATAAGATTGCGTCAGCAATTTTGTAATTTCAACTCGTTTCTCTCGTATTACCTTAGGTATAGTCTAAAAAGTATTGAGCTTCATAAAATAGATAGCCCTATTTAATTTTAAATATCATTTTATATGAATGCGAAACGAGTAAATAATTATATAGATATATATGTAATTATGTTCGCCTTCGTTCGATTTACTCGACTATTTCATGACGTATACGCATATACATATATATATATATATATATATATGATGTTGACATCTAGTATCCATGCAGATGCAAATTATAAATTATATAAACTCGATTATAGCAAAATATTGATAATAGAGTAACAATCATCAGATAATACATTAAAATATTTTGGTTTCGTTTTTATTTTTACGTTTTCGAAAATTGCGTTAAGCCTAAAAGCATGTGCGTTTGCGAATAAGCTGCATGCCTGCGCTTATACGCTCACTCATAAAGTCACAGCTCAAGCATTGCACTCGATTTGTAGAAAAATGCCAACAACAAGCATATGTAACAATAACAACATCAGTTATAATAGCACTAGCAGCCACACCTAAACATTCATAATGAACACATACACGCGCTGACATATAGATATACATATATATATATATATATATATATATATATATATATATATATATATATATGTATGTATGTATGTATATGTACAGGTAAATGGTTAACAGAAAAAGAAAAACAAATCTAATAACGGGCGTCCATGACGGCTGTTTAGGCCTAAGCTGATTTCAGTTTTCTAACTGCAAGTAGTGTACGGGTGACATAAAACCAAATCTCTTTAAGCACTTTTTTGCTTATATATATATTTTTTTTTCCTTTTATACATAAACGTGGCCTTTTAGTCAATGCAACATATACACACACATACATACACATACACACTTATATATGTACGCAAGTATTGTAAAAACCTGTATCCCTCTAAATAACGGACTAGTTTTCGATTAGTGAATAAGTAAGTACATACGTATATTTATAATTTTAATTTTTTTTTTTTTTTTCTCTACTATAAACTTTTTGCTTTTGTACATGCGTACATTCATTTTTTCCCGTAAACTGAAAAGTTGTCTTTTTAAGTTAAAGTTACGCAGCAAAGTGCTCAAGGCATAGGTTGCATTCTTTAATTTTTTCATTTAAAATTTTTAACCGCAACCTTATTCTATGGAGACTGTTTGTGAGTGAAACCATCAAACAATAATTTAGTGTTAATGGCCAAACGTATGGGCGTTAATCAACTTTTGAAGAATTGCTTTAGTTATTTATTTATTCATTTATTTATCTTTTTTTTTTTTCCATCTCTTGTTTACATGTAATACCTATGCTTAAGCACAATGAAACCTAATGATTGCCTTTATGCCTGCATGCCTATGTGTAAGCGTGCAAATATACGTTAGTGTGGGTATAATAACAATTTTCTCTTTTTTTTTTTTTTTTTTTTTTTTTTTTTTTTTTTGCATTTTTGTAATTTAAACATAAACGTATAAGGTAACAAATAGACATGTGTAACTGAATTATAAATCTTTTAAGATCAAAAATAATCAAAACTAAAATAAAGAGAGAAAATATTTGAAAATTTTCTAAACTCGCGAAAAGGACAAAGAAGGATTTTGATCATTATGGCGTGATATCAAATTATTTGCTAGTAATTTTTAAATATCTTATATCCGATCTAAGATAAGGCAAAGCCTTTTTCCATTGAAATTAATTCTTAAGTTCAATAAACTTATGCACGAGAATTTATTGGGCGAAAAACTTTTACATTATAAAGATGATAGATAGATAGATAGATAGATAGATAGATAGATAGATAGATAGATAGATAG